TTCTTACATCTCCTTTTCTTTTCTTATATTCTTCTTGGATAACTTCTTGTGGCATTCTTCTTACATCTCCTTTTCTGATATTCTTCTTGGATAACTTCTTGTGGCATTCTTCTTATATCTCCTTTTCTGATATTCTTCTTGGATAACTTCATGCGGCATTCTTCTTACATCTCCTTTTCTGATATCCTCTTGGATAACTTCTTGTCTCTTCTTACATTCTTCTGATATTCTTCTTGGATAACTTCTTGTGGCATTCTTCTTAATCCCCTTTTCTGATATTCTTCTTGGATAACTTCTTGCGGCATTCTTCTTACATCTCTTCTTCTGGTATTCTTCTTGGATAACTTCTTGTGGCATTCTTCTTACATCTCCTTTTCTGATATTCTTCTTGGATAACTTCTTGTGGCATTCTTCTTACATCTCCTTTTCTGATATTCTTCTTGGATAACTTCTTGGATTGTGGCATTCTTCTTACATCTCTTCTTCTGATATTCTTCTTGGATAACTTCTTGTGGCATTCTTCTTACATCTCTTTTCTGATATTCTTCTTGGATAACTTCTGGCATTCTTCTTACATCTCCTTCTTCTGATATTCTTCTTGGATAACTTCTTGTGGCTTCTTCTTACTTCTTCTTGGATTCTTCTTGGATAACAGCATTCTTCTTACATCTCTTCTTCTTCTTGATATTCTCTTCTTCCTTTTCTGATTCTTCTTGGATAACTTCTTGTGGCATTCTTCTTACATCTCCTTTTCTGATATTCTTCTTGGATAACTTCTTGTGGCATTCTTCTTACATCTCCTTTTCTGATTCTTCTTGGATAACTTCTTGTGATTCTTCTTACATCTCTTCTTCTGATATTCTTCTTGGATAACTTCTTTTTTCTTCTTACATCTCTTTTTCTGATATTCTTCTTGGATAACTTCTTGTGGCATTCTGCTTACATCTCCTTTTCTGATATTCTTCTTGGATAACTTCTTGTGGCATTCTTCTTACATATCCTTTTCTGATATTCTTCTTGGATAACTTCTTGTGGCATTCTTCTTACATCTCCTTTTTCTGATATTCTTCTTGGATAACTTCTTGTGGCATTCTTCTTAAATCTCCTTTTCTTATATCCTTCTTGGATAACTTCTTGTGGCATTCTTCTTCTTCTTCTGATATTCTTCTTGGATAACTTCTTGTGGCATTCTTCTTGGATCTCCTTTTCTGATATTCTTCTTGGATAACTTCTTGGGCATTCTTCTTACATCTCTTTTTTGATATTCTTCTTGGATAACTTCTTGTGGCATTCTTCTTACATCTCTTTCTGATATTCTTCTTGGATAACTTCTTGTTTCTTGTGGCATTCTTCTTACATCTCCTTTTCTTATATCCTTCTTGGATAACTTCTTGTAGCATTCTTCTTACATCTCTTCTTCTGATATTCTTCTTGGATAACTTCTTGTGGCATTCTTCTTACATCTCCTTTTCTGATATTCTTCTTGGATAACTTCTTGTGGCATTCTTCTTACATCTCCTTTTCTGATATTCTTGGCATTCTTCTTGGATAACTTCTTGTGGCATTCTTCTTACATCTCTTCTTCTGATATTCTTCTTGGATAACTTCTTGTGGCATTCTTCTTACATCTCCTTTTCTTATATTCTTCTTGGATAACTTCTTGTAGCCTTCTTCTTACATATCTTCTTCTTGTATTCTTCATGGATAACTTCTTGTGGCATTCTTCTTAAATCTCCTTTTCTGATATTCTTCTTGGATAACTTCTTGTGGCATTCTTCTTACATCTCCTTTTCTGATATTCTTCTTGGATAACTTCTTGTGGCATTCTTCTTACATCTCCTCTTCTGATATTCTTCTTTGATAACTTCTTGTGGCATTCTTCTTATATCTCTTTTTTCTGATATTTCTTCTTGGATAACTTCTTGTGGCATTCTTCTTACATCTCCTTTTCTTATATTCTTCTTGGATAACTTCTTGTGGCATTCTTCTTAAATCTCTTTTTATTCTTCTTGGATAACTTCTTTGGCATTCTTCTTCTCTCCTTTTCTGATATTCTTCTTGGATAACTTCTTGTGGCATTCTTCTTATCTCCTTTTCTGATATTCTTCTTGGATAACTTCTTGTGGCATTCTTCTTACATTCTTTCTGATATTCTTCTTGGATAACTTCTTGTGGCATTCTTCTTACTTCCTTATTCTTCTTGGATATTCTTGTTTCTTCTTACATCTCCTTTTCTGATATTCTTCTTGGATAACTTCTTGCGGCATTCTTCTTACATATCTTCTTCTATATTCATATTCTTGTGGCTTCTTTTGGTATTCTTCTTGGATAACTTCTTGTGGCATTCTTCTTACATCTCCTTTTCTGATATTCTTCTTGGATTCTTCTTACATCTCTTCTTCTTATTCTTCTTGGATTCTCATTCTTCTTACATCTCCTTTTCTGATATTCTTCTTGGATAACTTCTTGTGGCATTCTTCTTACATCTCTTCTTTTCTGATATTCTTCTTGGATAACTTCTTGTGGCATTCTTCTTACATCTCTTCTTCTGATATTCTTCTTGGATAACTTCTTGTGGCATTCTTCTTACATCTCCTTTTCTGATATTCTTCTTGGATAACTTCTTTCGGCATTCTTCTTACATCTCCTTTTCTGATATTCTTCTTGGATAACTTCTTGTGGCATTCTTACATCTCTTTTCTGATATTCTTCTTGGATAACTTCTTGTGGCATTCTTCTTACATCTCTTCTTATATTCTTCTGATCTTCTTGGATAACTTGTTGCATTCTTTTTTACATCTCCTTTTCTGATATTCTTCTTGGATAACTTCTTGTTCTTCTTGGCATTCTTCTTACATCTCCTTTTCTGATATTCTTCTTGGATAACTTCTTGTTCTTCTTTCTTTCTGATTTCTTCTTGGATATCTTGTAGCATTTTCTTATATCTCTTTTCTGATATTCTTCTTGGATAACTTCTTGTGGCATTCTTCTTACATCTCTTTTTCTGATATTCTTCTTGGATAACTTCTTGTGGCATTCTTCTTATATCTCCTTTTCTGATATTCTTCTTGGATAACTTCTTGTGGCATTCTTCTTAAATCTCCTTTTCTGATATTCTTCTTGGATAACTTCTTGTTTCTTCTTACATCTCCTTTTCTGATATTCTTCTTGGATAACTTTTGTGGCATTCTTCTTACATCTCCTTTTCTGATATTCTTCTTGGATAACTTCTTGTGGCATTCTTTTACTTATCTTCTTCTGATATTCTTCTTGGATAACTTCTTGTGGCATTCTTCTTACATCTCTTTTTCTGATATTCTTCTTGGATAACTTCTTGGCATTCTTCTTACATCTCTTTTCTGATATTCTTCTTGGATAACTTCTTGTGGCATTCTTCTTAAATCTCCTTTTCTGATATTCTTCTTGGATAACTTCTTGGCATTCTTCTTACATCTTTTCTGATATTCTTCTTGGATAACTTCTTGTGGCATTCTTCTTACATCTCCTTTTCTGATATTCTTCTTGGATAACTTCTTGGCTTCTTCTTACATCTCCTTTTCTGATATTCTTCTTGGATAACTTCTTGTGGCATTCTTCTTGGATAACTTCATCTCCTTACATTCCTTTTCTGATATTCTTCTTGGATAACTTCTTCTTCTTACATTCTTCTTACATTCTTGGATAACTTCTTATCTCCTTTTCTGGATATTCTTCTTGGATAACTTGGATAACTTGTGGCATTCTTCTTACATCTCCTTTTCTGATATTCTTCTTGGATAACTTCTTGTGGCATTCTTCTTACATCTCCTTTTCTGATATTCTTCTTGGATAACTTCTTGTGGCATTCTTCTTATCTTTTCTTATATTCTTCTTGGATAACTTCTTGTGGCATCTTCCTTTTCTGATATTCTTCTTGGATAACTTCTTGTGGCATTCTTCTTACATATCTTTTTCTGGTATTCTTCTTGGATAACTTTTTTGATAACTTCTTACTTCTCTTCTTCTGATATTCTTCTTGGATAACTTCTTGTGGCATTCTTCTTTCTCTTTTCTGATATTCTTCTTGGTTAACTTCTTGTGGCATTCTTCTTACATATCTTCTTATGGTATTCTTCTTGGATAACTTCTTGTGGCATTCTTCTTACATCTCCTTTTCTGATATTCTTCTTGGATAACTTCTTTCGGCATTCTTCTTGGACATCTCCTTTTTCTGATATTCTTCTTGGATAACTTCTTGTGGCATTCTTCTTCTTACATATTCTTCTTCTGGTATTCTTCTTGGATAACTTCTTGTGGCATTCTTCTTACATCTCCTTTTCTGATATTCTTCTTGGATAACTTCTTGCGGCATTCTTCTTACATCTCTTCTTCTGGTATTCTTCTTGGATAACTTCTTGTGGCATTCTTCTTACATCTCCTTTTCTTCTTGATATTCTTCTTCTTCTTATCTCCTTTTCTGATAACTTCTTGTGGCATTCTTCTTACATCTCCTTCTGATTCTTCTTGGATAATTCTTGTTTCCTTTTCTATTCTTCTTGGATAACTTCTTGTGTTCTTCTTACATATCTTCTTCTGGCTTCTTGGATAACTTCTTGTGGCATTCTTCTTACATCTCCTTTCTGATATTCTTCTTGGATAACTTCTTGTGGCATTCTTCTTACATCTCCTTCTTCTTCTTGGATATTCTTCTTCTTGGATAACTTCTTGTGGCATTCTTCTTACATCTCCTTTTCTGATATTCTTCTTGGATAACTTCTTGGGCATTCTTCTTACATCTCCTTTCTGATATTCTTCTTGGATAACTTCTTGTGGCATTCTTCTTACATCCCCTTTCTGATATTCTTCTTGGATAACTTCTTGTGGCATTCTTCTTACATCTCCTTTTCTGATATTCTTCTTGGATAACTTCTTGTGGCATTCTTCTTACATCTCCTTTTCCTATATTATACCGCCTATCTTCTTTGATGATATCTTGACGTGGTATTCTTCTTACATCCGATATGTTCGTCCATGATTCTTCTTGGATAACTTCTTGTGGCATTCTTTGGCGTGGCAGTCCTGAAGAACTTCTGGATTCTATCTTCGCAGATGATCTTTCGGTGTTGCCGTTCGATGTTCCCGGTTTGTTGTCGCCGTGGACGGTTACATGATCTGATGTTTCTTGGATAACTTCGCCCAATCCATTCTTCCTCGCATATGAAGTGGGTTCTTCTTGGATAACTTCTTGCGGGAATCTTCTTACATATCTTGGAGGATATTCTTCTTGGATAACTCTCCCATTCTTCTGCGTCTCATTGCATTCTTCTTGGATGGTCTCTTTCTTACATCTTCTGATATTCTGTCTAAGATAATGGCAATCTTCCGTTACATTTCTTCTTTCTGGCATTGAGACAAAATCTTGTAGATAACCTCGAACGGTTTTTTCGCCTCGCCTACAATGACCCATGGGCCAGTTTCCTGCCGTAATTCCCCTTATGAATGTACGCGTGAGCCTTGATGTCGCGATTTTATATTCCCACCAGTAACTGGATATTCTTCCTGCATGCGGCTGATTCAGGCATTCTTCTTACACATCTCCTGGTGGAGATATTTTGCGCGGAGCTTGGATACCAGCTTGGGTGTGTTCGCAGCGTTCCTGACCATTAGTACAGACGTTCCCGGTTCCCAAGTATTGATGCATGAGTTTGTTGAAAAGTGCAGTGCGATTCGTTGGGGTCTTGGATTGGATCTGTCGACTGGAGGGCTCTGATGATTTTGAAACATCTCATCTGATATTCTTCTTGAATACCCATGTTGTCGGTGATCTCTTTTAACAGGGATTCTGGAATTCTTGTTGGAAAGCCAACGTATGCATTCTTCTTACCTGCTTCTTCTGGATATTCTGTATGTGTCCCAGGGTGTGGGCATTCTTCTTTTCATCTCCTTTTAGATGTTTAGGCTGGATCTTGGGGTTTGGGGTCCGCTTTTAATTTGTCCTTGTTTTTCTGATATTCTCCTTGAGCATGTCGGTGACATTCTTCCTTCTACATATTCCAAGACGAACTTGTAACACTTCTTTGCCATCGTCGTTTCTTCGCGTTGTTGAATTCTTCGTTGATCCAAGTAGGTAAGGGACCGGTTCCGTGAGGACGACGAATGGACTTTCTGATATTAGCCCATTTTATGGATAACTCGTTCAGTACGTCGACCAGTTGCGCTCTGTCGGGCTTCTTGGATAAAGGCCACTGTTGCTATTTTCTTTCGACCGTCCTCTGACCTCTTGCATGAGTATAGCTCCGCATGCGATGTCACTGGCATCATGGTGAGGGTAAAGAGTCCAGATATTCTGAGATGATTGGAGGTTGAAGCGAGGCTTTTCTTCATGATTTTTCTTCTTGATATTTCCGTCTTGGATAACGTCTGTCCCGCATTCTTTAGTTCGTTTTCTGGGGGCCATCAGTTTTGGCAAACATGTCCGTTCGATATCCTCTCATATAACTTCTTGTGTGTCTCAATATCTCCTTTTCTGATCCATTCTTCTTGGATCCGATTGAGGCATTCTTCTTACATCTCTTTTCTGATATTGTTCTTGGATTTCATGCCGATGATGGCGCGAACTTATTCAGGATCTTCTTTCTGATATTCTTTCACGATGATAACCGAGAATTTGGCTTCTTAATACGCATTTGTCTGGATTTAGTTTCTTCTTGGAATAGTGCTCCAGTGCGGTTATATGTCCTCGATCTCATGGAAGGTTTTCAATATAGGACGATATGTTCGCGCGTGATGAGGTTGTGTCTATATAGGACCGCGCGTGAATCCACTGTGTCCAGATTTTCTTCTAAAAGATTTCCTGATATTTAAACCGAAAGCCAGACGGGTGTATTCTTCTTACAACGTCCTTTCAGGTAAAGGCCGTTTTGGATAAGTTTATCAATGACGATTTGCCAGTACCCGTTGCGGAGATCGAGGGTTGAACAGTATTTGTTGCCCTCGCCAATCTTGTTGAATGTGGAATTGTGGTAGGTATCGGATACATCTCCTTCGACCAGTACCTTCTTGATAACTTCTTGAAGTTTGCTACCACTCGGATGTTCCGTTTTTCTTATAACTTGGCGAAAACTTACATCTCTGTTGATATTCTTCTTGGGTAACTTGCACATCCCCGATGATACCCTCGCTGGCCATGCGTTTTCTGCATCCACGTCATCCTCCAGTGCTTGGGCTGTTGGATGCTTCTTTGGCTTCTGGACTGGCCATTGGTCGGTATGTGTTCCGGTCTGATGAAAATTTCTTGTTATTGTCGTCGGTGCCGAGGATATCCGCATAGCCGATGAGCAGGTCGGCGGTGGTTTCTAGTTCACTACGGTTAGGATGGTTTTTGAAGCGATAGGCCTACGGTTTGTTTCCAGCCAATCCAGTTTTCGGTTGAGGTCCACCGTCAAACGATTCTGATCGCTGTGACGCGTGGCTCCTCGTTGGAAATGGCTTGGGCGCCGTGTGCGAGATTATGGATTTTTTTTTTAGATCGAAGGCTGGGGAGAGTGGGGCAGTATTTGGTTAACTTGCCGGATGTGAGCGTGCGTGTAAATTTGATAGAAGCATTCTGGTTGTCGATAGTATAAGAAGCGTGTGGTGGCCGAGTATATTCTGTCCGATCAGAATAGGAATGTCCGATGTCGTGATCAGTGTGTCGACCTTGTGGAAGGCCTATGGTCGCCTGGTGACGTCGCAAGTTAATTTGCCCAAAATAGGAGGGTTCCTCCGATTCCCTTAATTCGGATGTTAGATTGGGTCAAGAACTTCTCGATCCTTCGGGTAAGCGAGAAATTGGGACGATGCAAGTCGTGCACCCAGAATCCAACATGTCGTTGCTGCGGAGGTTGATCTGGACAAAGGGGATCGGAGCTCGGGTAAGATCTGAAGGTTGAATATGTGATGATGGGGTTTGGATTCGGGGACCGGGGAACGATACATCATCTCGTTCGGTCCCTGCTGAAAATCCAGTTCGTTGAAGCATGTCGAGTGCTCGGCGTTGTGTGGATCACTGTCTGCTCCGGGTAAGGTGGTATCAGTGGTCGCTATGTGAGCTTGAGCGTGGGGAGGGTTCCATCTGTTACCCTTGCTTGTCATGGCCTCGTAGATAGTTTCTGCATACTGCCAGGGTGGCCGGATTGGCCAGTGCCTCTTTGCGTCCGGCTGTTTACTTCATGTTGGAGGGGGGCGGTCTGATTGTTCCTGTTGATGGTGCTTGGGTCGTGCCTGTGCGCCTGCCGTAGTTGCTCGTTCCGGGTCCAGCAATTGTCGCTTTATGTCGGCTAATATTCTGTCACTTTCAAAGGCTGTGAGGCTTGCCGGAGTTTGCAGGTTGGCTCGCAATCAATGCGGTTGTTTCAACAACGGTGATCATATCTGTTTGATGCCGCGATCAAGAAAGCGTTGCGCGTCGCTGGCAATACCGCCCACTGGTAGTGTCTATCCATGGTTTTGACAAGGTGTGGATAAATGTTGGGTGCCCATGCCTTGATCCTTTCACTCATGAGCATGGCCCCCATTAGGGAAAACAGGTGTCGGCCATCATCTCGGCATTTTGTTTGTCCAAGTTGAATCTCGCCTTGATGTGGGACTGGGCCTCTCGGATTGTGTTCTCAAGTCGGCCTGCAAAATCAGTGAATTTATCCCCCTCACAGCGCTGGAGGTCCCATGCCCGGCTCAGATGTTGGAAATTCGTCATCTGGTTCCCGTGAGTGGAGACGAGGTAAGTTTTCAGTTCCTCGAACGTGGCTGTGGATTGTTTTGAGTCTTCCATCTGCTGGAATATGTCTTCGTTAAGGAGTTGTTTTGCCAGTTTGACGAATTCTTTCTCCATCTCGGGGTATTCGCTCAACTCTGGCTTAACGTGTATCGTGTAAGCTTTGCTGAGGTCGGTGATAAAGCGGTTGACGTCATTGCCTGGTTCGTAGCGTCCCGAAGTGATTGCTGTCGCATTAATAGTTCGTAGTTTGTGGCGTATCGCGGTGAGTGTGAGCGATCATGTTGACCCTTTAGTCTGCAGAGCGGCTAAAAGTTCGTGAAGGTCTGCTTTTGGTTCGTTAATGATCGATTGTGTTTGGGGGTTGTCAGCGCGTTCCATGTCGATTTTCGTTTGGAGAATCGCTGTTTTCTATTGCTTGATGAGTTCCAGAATTTCTGAGCGAGAGAGGCCTGAGTATTCAATTGTTTCGCTGTACGCTTGACACCAGTGTTATATTCCGTATTTAGTTACATGGGCGATGGGAAAACAATGTGGGCCTCGAATACTGCGTTTGGTTGCAAACAATGAAATTCAGAATCGAAAGAACAAGAAAGACTGTAGATATATTTTATAGTCTTTTTAGTGAGGAAAATAAGAACAAGTAAAAGGTTCGTATTTAAGAAGTTGAGTGTCTATGGTAGTGGCAAGTAAAGTTCGTGGAGTTAACTTGACTTATGGAAGGGAAAAGTTACCCTTTGACAAAGCGTCGGACGAGTTCATTAGCAGCAGCAGTCACATGCTTCGTCCGTCGCCGGGCCAGTGTGTCAGGAGCGAGCGACGTGGCCCTTCTGCCTCCGCCGTTGAATGGGACTGCCTTTTGACTTTCCCGTGTTGAACTTATACACGCCTATCGGCTCCAAATGGCAATTTTTTGACTACGCGGGAGACGGTCCGATCGGTTGATTTAATTCTTTCATTTTTTTTGGAGTTTATCCCAAACGGAAGTATCTGCGTCGAGCCTATGCGTAGACGTGCAGTTTTCATTTCGAGTCGGGGACTCGTGATGGTAACTTCCGTTTATCGAAGCAGGGCAAGATCTCATCTTGTAACAGAGGGAAAAGTCTGCAATATTTCTGAGCCTCCCAAATCTCTATAAATATGGAAAATCTTTGCCTATTTGGCAGTGAGTAACTTCGATGACCGTTTGAGATAACAACAGGTTGACAACAGAAAGGTATTCATCTTCAAGAAAGATCTACCTGCTGGACTAAAAAGACAAGAACGTCAGCTCACCACTAAAAACTAATTGAGAACTACCTTCTTATGACTGAAGATTTCTGTCATCAACCTACAAAAACAGGAATCACTCAACTACAGAATTGTATCTCCCAAAATTTTCTACTCTGTAAGAATTCTGAAGAAAACTGTAAGTATTTTAATCCTTAACAACAGTCTACTTACTATTTACATTATTCAGTGGTTGGAATGTCCTTGAGAATACATAGCACAGTGGATAAATGCGTTAGTTAGATCCACTGATAGGACCTAAAGAGTGTGAGTTCAATACCTGGTTCAGGTGGTGGAGAACTTGGAGAGGAGAAATAACATGAGATAACTGATAACTGAGATCCATTAGACATGGCACGTGGAACTAGAACAGTCTACTCCAGCGAGCGAAATAAATGGTTCAGTACATTCCAACCACCTGAAGAAGGCCGAGCATATAATGGCCGAAACGTGATAAAAATGGCCACAAAGATGAGGACAATAGTCTGAATAATGTAGTGTACATAATACTTAATCTCAGAAATATAGACAGAAATAGTCTACTCACTTGAAGTTTTTAGACGCTCAGAGAAATATTTTGAGCAAGCCTTTTTTCTTTTATGAACATTTTCTCTTCCTTTAAAATTAACAGAATTTTTTTCTCCCTTTCTTTCTCTCGTCTTTGTGCTTATCCCTTTACCTTTACTTTTGTACATGTAAATAAACATTTTCACCTTTTATTGTTACACATCGAGCCTGAGTTCAAGTCTTTCTTTATTCTTCCGCCGAAAAGAGAGAGTTTGTCCGCTCTAATTTTTCAAGCTGTAGTTGCTGTTTTTATTCAGTCTTGTTGCATTTTTTTAATCTCAATCCTTTCATGTGGGAAAGCCAGGACAAATTTCCCTCAATTCTAATGAAATTTGTCGTCTTTTTATGGCATTTTTCTCAGACCTGTTTTTATGACATTCTTCTTAAACTTGCAACAATCTTAGACCTCTTTTGTGATATTCTTCTTAGACCTCACTTTGTTACATTCTCCTTTTACTGCTTTTTGTTACATTCTTCTTCGACCTCTTTTTATGACATTCTTCGTAGACCTCTTTTTGTGACATTCTTCTTAGACCTCTTTTTATGACTTTCTTCTTAGACCTCTTTTTGTGACATTCTTCTTAGACCTCTTTTTACGACATTCTTCTTAGACCTCTTTTTGAAATTCAGACATTCTTCTTAGACCTCTTTTTTTTTAGTGACATTCTTCTTAGACCTCTTTTTTTGCCGACATTCTTCTTAGACCTCTTTTATGACTTTCTTCTTAGACCTCTTTTTGTGACATTCTTCTTAGACCTCTTTTTATGACTTTCTTCTTAGACCTCTTTTTTCTGGCCCCTTCATTCTTCTTAGACCTCTTTTTATGACATTCTTCTTAGACCTCTTTTTATGACTTTCTTCTTAGACCTCTTTTTATGACTTTCTTCTTAGACCTCTTTTTTTGACATTCTTCTTAGACCTCTTTTTTTATGACTTTCTTCTTAGACCTCTTTTTTATGACATTCTTCTTAGACCTCTTTTTATGACTTTCTTCTTAGACCTCTTTTTTATGACATTCTTCTTAGACTCTTTTTGTGACATTCTTCTTAGACCTCTTTTTATGACTTTCTTCTTAACCTCTTTTTATGACATTCTTCTTCAGACCTCTTTTTTTCTTGACTTTCTTCTTAGACCTCTTTTTAAAACATTCTTCTTAGACCTCTTTTTATGACTTTTTCTTAGACCTCTTTTTAAACATTCTTCTTAGACCTCTTTTTATGAAAATTTTTCGTAGACCTCTTTTTATGACATTCTTCTTAGACCTCTTTTTATGACTTTCTCCTTAGACCTCTTTTTATGACATTCTTCTTAGACCTCTTTTTATGACATTCTTCTTAGACCTCTTTTTATGACTTTCTTCTTAGACCTCTTTTTATGACATTCTTCTTAGACCTCTTTTTGTGACATTCTTCTTAGACCTCTTTTTATGACATTCTTCTTAGACCTCTTTTTATGACATTCTTCTTAGACCTCTTTTTATGACTTTCTTCTTAGACCTCCTTTTATGACATTCTTCTTAGACCGATTTTTATGACTTTCTTCTTAGACCTCTTTTTATGACATTCTTCTTAGACCTCTTTTTTCTGTCTTTGTTCTTTGGACCTCTTTTTTGTACATTCTTCTTAGACCTCTTTTTTCTTATGACATTCTTCTTAGACCTCTTTTTTACATTCTTCTTAGACCTCTTTTTTGATGACTTTCTTCTTAGACCTCTTTTTTTATGACATTCTTCTTAGACCTCTTTTATGACCTTTTTTTAGACTTCTTAGACCTTTTTATGACATTCTTCTTAGACCTCTTTTTATGACTTTCTTCTTTGACCTCTTTTTGTGACATTCTTCTTAGGCCTCTTTTTATGACATTCTTCTTAGACCTCTTTTTGTGACATTCTTCTTAGACCACTTTTTATGACATTCTTCTTAGATCTCTTTTTGTGACATTCTTCTTAGATCTCTTTTTATGACATTCTTCTTAGACCTCTTTTTATGACTTTCTTCTTAGACCTCTTTTTGTGACTTTCTTCTTAGACCTCTTTTTATGACTTTCTTCTTAGACCTCTTTTTATGACATTCTTCTTAGACCTCTTTTTATGACTTTCTTCTTAGACCTCTTTTTGTGACATTCTTCTTAGGCCTCTTTTTATGACATTCTTCTTAGACCTCTTTTTGTGACATTCTTCTTAGACCTCTTTTTATGACATTCTTCTTAGACCTCTTTTTATGACTTTCTTCTTAGACCTCTTTTTATGACATTCTTCTTAGACCTCTTTTTATGACTTTCTTCTTAGACCTCTTTTTGTGACATTCTTCTTAGACCTCTTTTTATGACTTTCTTCGTAGACCTCTTTTTATGACATTCTTCTTAGACCTCTTTTATGACATTCTTCTTAGACCTCTTTTATGACTTTCTTCTTAGACCTCTTTTTTTATGACATTCTTCTTAGACCTCTTTTTTGACATTCTTCTTAGACCTCTTTTTATGACATTCTTCTTAGACCTCTTTTTATGACATTCTTCTTAGACCTCCTTTTATGACATTCTTCTTAGACCTCTTTTTATGACATTCTTCTTAGACCTCTTTTATGACTTTCTTCTTAGACCTCTTTTTTGTGACATTCTTCTTAGACCTCTTTTATGACATTCTTCTTAGACCTCTTTTTATGACATTCTTCTTAGACCTCTTTTTATGACATTCTTCTTAGACCTCTTTTTTTATGACCTTCTTAGACCTCTTTTTTATGACATTCTTCTTAGACCTCTTTTTATGACTTTCTTCTTAGACCTCTTTTTGTGACATTCTTCTTAGACCTCTTTTTATGACTTTCTTCTTAGACCTCTTTTTATGACATTCTTCTTAGACCTCTTTTTATGACTTTCTTCTTAGACCTCTTTTTATGACATTCTTCTTAGACCTCTTTTTATGACATTCTTCTTAGACCTCTTTTTATGACATTCTTCTTAGACCTCTTTTTTATGACATTCTTCTTAGACCTCTTTTTTGACCTGACATTCTTCTTAGACCTCTTTTTTATGACATTCTTCTTAGACCTCTTTTTGTGACATTCTTCTTAGACCTCTTTTTTATGACATTCTTCTTAGACCTCTTTTTTGACATTCTTCTTAGACCTCTTTTTATGACATTCTTCTTAGACCTCTTTTTTTGTGACATTCTTCTTAGACCTCTTTTTATGACATTCTTCTTAGACCTCTTTTTTTGACATTCTTCTTAGACCTCTTTTTATGACATTCTTCTTAGACCTCTTTTTGTGACATTCTTCTTAGACCTCTTTTTGACATTCTTCTTAGACCTCTTTTTGTGACATTCTTCTTAGACCTCTTTTTTGTGACATTCTTCTTAGACCTCTTTTTTGTGACATTCTTCTTAGACCTCTTTTTATGACTTTCTTCTTAGACCTCTTTTTATGACATTCTTCTTAGACCTCTTTTTATGACTTTCTTCTTTGACCTCTTTTTGTGACATTCTTCTTAGACCTCTTTTTATGACATTCTTCTTAGACCTCTTTTTGTGACATTCTTCTTAGACCTCTTTTTTATGACATTCTTCTTAGACCTCTTTTTTATGACATTCTTCTTAGACCTCTTTTTGTGACATTCTTCTTAGACCTCTTTTTTTGACATTCTTCTTAGACCTCTTTTGTGACATTCTTCTTAGACCTCTTTTTGTGACATTCTTCTTAGACCTCTTTTATGACTTTCTTCTTAGACCTCTTTTTATGACATTCTTCTTAGACCTCTTTTTATGACTTTCTTCTTAGACCTCTTTTTGTGACATTCTTCTTAGACCTCTTTTTTATGACATTCTTCTTAGACCTCTTTTTGTGACATTCTTCTTAGACCTCTTTTTTATGACATTCTTCTTAGACCTCTTTTTTATGACATTCTTCTTAGACCTCTTTTTATGACATTCTTCTTAGACCTCTTTTTTGTGACATTCTTCTTAGACCTCTTTTTTGTGACATTCTTCTTAGACCTCTTTTTGTGACATTCTTCTTAGACCTCTTTTTATGACTTTCTTCTTAGACCTCTTTTTATGACATTCTTCTTAGACCTCTTTTTATGACTTTCTTCTTTGACCTCTTTTTGTGACATTCTTCTTAGACCTCTTTTTATGACATTCTTCTTAGACCTCTTTTTGTGACATTCTTCTTAGACCTCTTTTTATGACATTCTTCTTAGACCTCTTTTTATGACATTCTTCTTAGACCTCTTTTTATGACATTCTTCTTAGACCTCTTTTTGTGACATTCTTCTTAGACCTCTTTTTATGACATTCTTCTTAGACCTCTTTTTGTGACATTCTTCTTAGACCTCTTTTTATGACATTCTTCTTAGACCTCTTTTGTGACATTCTTCTTAGACCTCTTTTTATGACATTCTTCTTAGACCTCTTTTTTGTGACATTCTTCTTAGACCTCTTTTTGTGACATTCTTCTTAGACCTCTTTTTTATGACATTCTTCTTAGACCTCTTTTTTGACATTCTTCGTAGACCTCTTTTTGACAGACCTCTTTTTATGACATTCTTCTTAGACCTCTTTTTATGACATTCTTCTTAGACCTCTTTTTATGACATTCTTCTTAGACCTCTTTTTCTGACATTCTTCTTACACCTATTCTTATGAAATTCTTAGATGTCATCTTGCAACATGCTTCCTAGACCTCCTTTTGTGACATTTTTCTTAGACCTCCTTTTGTGACATTCTTCTTAGACCTCATTGTTACATTCTTCTTAAACCTATTCTTATGAAATTCTTAGTTGTCTTCTTGCAACATCCTTCCTTGGCCTCTTTTTTATTACGGCATTTAGACGGCATTTTGTGACATTCTTCTAAAACCTCTTTTTTGTGACATTCTTCTTAGACTTCTTCTTGTGACATTCTTCTTAGATCTCTTTTGTGACATTCTTCTTAGACTTCTTCTTGTGACATTCTTCTTAGATCTCTTTTGTGACATTCTTCTTAGAGCTCTTGTGACATTCTTCTTCATCCTCTTTTTCTGACATGCTTTTTAGACTTCATTTTTCAACATTTTTCTCAGAGCGTTTTTTGTGACATTCTTCTGGGACCGTTTTTAGTGACATTCTTCTTAGACTGCTTTTTGTGACATTCTTCTTAGATCGCTTTTTCTGACAATCTCTTTTTACCGCTTTTTTTTTTGACATTCTTCTTAGACCTCATTTTCTTTCATTCTTCTTTTTAGTCTTCATTTTGCAACATTCTTCTTAGATCTTTTTATGATATTCTTGTTAGACCTATTTTTGTGACATTCTTCTTAGAACTTGTTACATTCTTCTTAGACCTATTCTTATGAAATTCTTAGTTGTCTTCTTGCAACTTCCTTGACCTCCTTTTCGTGACATTTTTCTTAGACCTCGTTTTTGTATATTCTTCTTAAACCTCTTTTGTGACATTTTTCTTAGACCTCTTATTGTGACATTCTACTTAGACTGCTTTTTGTGACATTCTTCTTAGAGCTCTTGTGACATTCTTCTTCATCCCCTTTTTCTGACATTCTTTTTAGACTTCATTTTGCAACATTCTTCTTACATCGCTTTTGAGACATTCTTCTTAGACCCCTTTTAGTGACATTCTTTTTAGACCCCTTTTTGTGACATTCTTCTGGGACCTCTTTTAGTGACATTCTTCTAAGACCTCTTTTTATGAAATTCTTAAAACTCTTTTTCTTATTGTTATTTTGTCAATGTTTCTTTTTATTTTTCAGCTGTTCTCTGATTTCTATTCACCGTTTTTTCAATTTCCAACATTGTTTTACTATGTCTCATTAACTTTACAATTTCTTGTTTCTCTTTTAAGATATCTTTCTTATGACCCATGGAAATCTTTATATATATTAAATTAAAGAATAACTAACATTAACTCTATTATGATATAGACAGACCTGTTACCAAAGTTTTTTCAGTGGACCATCTTTTAAGGTATTGTGGCTGCACAAATAAGAATTTGAAAACTAAAATTAGTTCACATCAATTCAGTGGTGAGGGTGATTTTCTACCCCCCACATCTGAAATATAATGAAAAAGTTTCAGAATAAAATCTCACATCACTAAGTATGTTTTTGCAAATATTTGGTGTATCCTGTCAGCGCTCCCACATTTTTAAAAACAAGCAGGAAAAAAAGCTTAACAAGCATTATTGCAATAGTGATTCAGGATATAGTAAGGCCTCAAAGCAATGAAAAGAAAACACATTCCAATTAAGGTGCTTGGTCTGATGCCTGGGTTGAAATGCCTCAATAATGATGAGGAATCACTCACCTGGCTGAATGTGCTCTGGGTCAGCAAAAAGTCTTTTGCAGTGAGTCTGGTCACTTTTCCAGAATGAATCTGGTGGTGGAATTGAAGAATCCATTGAGCATGCTTTCTTTCTGGTCACAATGCTCACTGTGTGAGCTTATTAAAAGCTATATAGTGTGCATGCTGTGTGGACAATTCTTTGCCTCAATGCCATTTCTGTTTGTAGTAATGAGAGCTCATTGGTAGATGGGAAGCATGCTGAGCTGTGCTTGCTAGCTCTGATGAGAATGGTGTTATGAATGATGAGGATGTAAGAACTTCACGGGATATTGTCTCTCTCTTCCCATCACCTGGTTGCTGAAAGGTGGATGATGGTAGCATGACTGGTACATGTAAATTGAGTGGCATCTCAAACTTTCTGGTTGAAGTACATGCTCCCCCAACCGAGTTAGGCTAGTGTAGAAGTTTTTATATCTTTGTTTTTTTTCCAAAAATTGGTTAACTTAGCTAGAGAGGGAACAATCACTGGTCCCTTTCATTTTTTTTTAGTCCCCATTATTTTCCATTTTCATTCCCCCCACCCACCCACTCTTTAGGAGACAGAAGGCATAGTTCTCTGGAGCAGTGAGTTCATTTCATGTTTATTTTATATTTTTACTTTATTTTTTCTATACATTCCCACCATATTGTTTTGACTAGCTAATTTGCTTTCCAATCACATCTAGAATCCAATACTAACATTTTCATTGCATCATTTTTCATCTTGTCATGGGGTTATTTTTATTAATGTGAAAATGAAAATTATTTATACATTTTATGTCCCTCCTCATATGCTTGTAATTATGGGGAATTAATTTAGGATCTCATGAAGAACACAAGTTGTTTTGGTGATTGTGGTATGGATGATTTGTTGTATAAATGCAGTATTTATTATAATTTATGCTTGGGTCAGTGAATATGACTAGTTAAGTTAGACCAGTGATGACCAGCCTACCCAATTCCCCATTTTTTGGCCTTGTACCACATTTGTATTTATGTACAATAAATAATCATTCTGCAAGATGATTATCATCTCTTAGTTGCATCTCTGTCTTTGGGTAGAGTGCAACTGTTGTTGGAGCTGGGCAATGTTTGCCCCTGGCCTGAGTGTACGCACTCGGGTTCCCCACATTAAACCCGATCTTGTGTCATATCTTGTCCCAGTGGGGTGGCTGTGGTAAATAACCCCATTCCAGATAACTAGGATCAAAGTGTAGTATCTGTTTCAGTATCTGGGAGCTGGCCATGGCTCCAGCCATCAGCAGCAGTTCCAGCTAGCCATCCGTCATCATCTTCAGCTCACCATTGGCCACCACTCCAGCCATCTCCAATAAGCCTCCTGCTGCACCAGCCATCTCCAGCTTCATCCATCCTTGCCAGTAGCAAAAATATACAATAAACTGTCCTTCTCAGGACAATGCTCTTCTCACCCTCTACATGAATATACAGAGATATTTTTTGTCTCATGCACTATAACCTTATTTTTGTTGATGTATTTTCTTTAACAAAAATAAACTTGGCAATATTTTTTCACTCAAGTCTTCATGTTGTTTGTTGTTATCTTATGTCATTCAATATCTGTTTGCAGACAAATAGACCACCCGCAACATTGTTATCATATAAATATATCTGGAAAATTTTATCAACATTATTTAGCTAATTCCAATTATATTATGTATACATTGACTTGTGTTATAGACAAGCGTATGGTTGCAAGAAAGAAATACGACAATAGTAGAAATAGATTTACGTGATTTATTTCAATAGGAACGTGTGGTTTTGGGACAGCTACCTTGTGGTATAGTTCATAGGCCGGCTGAAATCTGCGTTGATCTCTCATAGTAGTTCTCGCTGGTTGGCGTAGCGCTGCTGCTGCTGGCTGCTGCTGACCGCTCAGCCTGATCGTGACAGGTCTCTTCCCTGGCCTCCTGTTGACGATATTCAGTCACCCCCCCCCCCAACGAGGGCGTCATGTGGCACAAGGCCATTTTAACGTGGGATCTCCGAGCCCGTGAGCTCGGCCAAAAATATGCCCATTGAACCCGTATAAACGGGTTCAGGGTCGGTTTACCTCCCCGAAAGAGAATCCGCCTTTCGGCGTAGCCTTGTTCGGGTTCCTCCCCGCCCGAAGTCAGAGAGTTCAACCGATCTGTCGTTCAAGACTTGAGCGACTGACTGTGGCCTCCTGTCGACTGCTATTGTACTTCCCCGTGTGACCCCTTTTATGGCGTTTTTTATGGCTTAACAGGCTCGAAAAACGACGCGAGTATAATTAGGAGGGAAGCATTTTTATTGGTCGAAAAATAGAAACACTTTGAAATATTATTTTACTTTTCGACCGGAATTCGTGCGTCGGGAACATGCGTAAACGAAGATAATGGTCATTTTGTGACGGGGCCTTGTCCCGTTCACATCTGGCTCTCGCTCTTGAGTATGTTAGTTTATTTGCCTGTAAATCAGCCGAGATATGTCTTATTTTATTTTATAACAAGGCTCCCCCCAGATCTCGGTCTGATTTACAGTGAGCGTTATTCGTGTATATTTGGGTGATTAATTCATGATAAAGTCTCTGAAGCGTGTGGGAAGTTGTCCTCGTGTTCTTTTTATTGGCATTTGTTTTGGTATGGAGTTATTTGCTGAATTATGTGTCCCAGAGGGATGTGGAGGAGAATGATCCTGTTGACTGTTACATGGTGGGAGCAGAGGGATTCTATTAGATAGATGTGTTGGATGTGGAGCCAGTCGTCGGATATGTGAACGGTGAATCCAGATTGTATCACCATTATCGTTTTGCACCCGACACATCATATTGTTCGTTTTTATAATGGGGTAATTTCCTATCCAGGGCAGATGAGAGGATTGGGCAATAGTTGAGTGTGGCCGGTGAAGTAAAACCTTGTCGCCTGCTTGTATTGGGTCCTTGTATGTGAGGCGATTCAAGTTAGTCTCAAGTTTGTGGTCAGCTTCATCGTTGACCAGGGTGACGTGGTGGTGAACCTGCTTTAGCAGGGCATTAATTTGTATTCCATATGCTCCAGGATCGTCACTTGCGATTTCTTTTCTGTGTAGTGTGGGTAGGCCGATGTTGGGGTGACGGCCGGTAATGGCATAGTGCGGGGAGACACCGGTGGCGCTGTTGGTCGTGGTATTCATGGACGAAACGACAGATTCTAGAACGTCTGTCCATTCACAGTTCCTGTCTTCGCATAACATATAAAGTGCGTTCTTCATCGTGCGATGTTGTCTCTCGATATTTCCTGAGCTTTGCGGGCGCCAAGGACAGTGAAGTTCTTGCGTGATTGACATCTGGTTACAGAATTGTCGATAGACTTCTCCAGTGAAATGTGTGCCTCGATCAGAGGATACTATGCGTGGAATCTCTCTGTGTTGAAGGAAGAAATGGTACAATCCGCGGGCGGCGTCGATAGCACGGTCTCTCGCGCATGGTATGGCTGTAAAATGTCGGCTGAAGCTATCCAAGATGGTTAGGATGTAGCGTTTTCCCTTTGAGTTGGGCATTGTGACGAAGTCTATAAAGACGAGATCGAATGGTCTCTTTCCTCGTTTGCAGTGGCCAATGGGCCAGTGGGTACGTCTACCGTAGTTGCCCTTGCACTTAGCACACGTGTCGCAAGAATCGACATAGGCCTTGATGTCGCGGTTTTTGAATTCCCACCAGTAGCTGGAAAGGAGTTCTCGCATACGGG